ATGAAGGCATAAAAAAAGGTAAAGAATGATACAACATATGAAGATGAGTTAAATTTCCTAAACATCAAAAGGTGTAATAGGCATGTATATAGAAATTATAGCAAGTGCAATACAGTGACATTACAGAATACATCGAGGGTGAGGTGAAATATCAGCAAGTGCATATTCAAAAACAAGTAGCCTCTCACAGGAGGGCCCCATGCTCTGGGTCACTAGCTTGAATACACTTCAGATTTCAATCTGGTATGCCAATCATGGAACAAGTGTGCCATTATAAAATAAAGGAAAAACCATAAAGTTTCAAATATTACTGTAGTGCCACTTGCCAGAACCAAAATTTTCAAGAACTGTAATAGATCTTACATGCTTGATAAGACTGTACTTATGTTAAAGCTGCACTGATAACAAGCATGAATAATTGGAGCTCAGCAATAAACAAAAAGTAGATATTGGCCAACAATCTGCAAAATATAGAAAATTTCCCAAATAATTGATGTACTAGAATGCTAAGTAATTATATACCTGCAACATAGCCCTTCTTTCCTCCCTGCGTTGAAATATACCTACATACAATGGTTTCTTTCCTACCATCTTCCCATTCAATCCATTAATCTGAAGGGCATTGCATGTTAGATATACATTTTAAAACGTGCAAGAACGTCTAAATCATAAAATAAAACAGGATAGCAGTTCCTAAGCATGGTTGCTTTACTTACAGCCCGATTAGCTTCATCCAAGGAAGAAAAGGCTACAAAACCAGATCCCTTGCTTTGCCCATGGGTATCAAGCATAACCTGGATAGAATCATAGAATAACATACAAAGACTTAAAAACCTGCCTGAAATTTACTAAAATGAAGGTTAGTGGTTCAGATTTTTTACCCTGCAAGAAGTTACGGTACCAAAAGGGGAGAACAGTTCCCTTAGTTTCTCATCATTTATAGAATCATCAAGGTTCTTCAAATATAAGCTAAGCCCCTGAAGTTTTTCCAATCTTCCATTTCGCTCCTGTTCATATTTGGCCCTTAATTCAGCTTCCCTTTCAGACTTTTTCTGAGCTTTCCCAACATACAAAACTTTATCAAACAAAGCTGTTCCATTAAATTTCTCAATTGCAGCAGCAGCAGCTTCCGGCATCTCAAAATTTACAAAACCAAATCCCCTAGACTTTCCATTTACATCTTTCATGACAACTCCACTTGTGATGTTGCCACATACCCCAAAGTAACTTTTCAAGTCCTCATCAGTATAAGGTTCAGGCAAATTTTTAATATACACATTAGTGAATTTTGGAGGCCCATCAGGTTGATGTCTTTCTTGGCGTCGAACAAAGTGACCAACATGAACAGGTTTGTCATTAATCAACATTCCATTTAGTCGGCTAATAGCTCTCTCAGCAGACTCTTCATTTTCAAACTGAACAAAACCATATCCTTTTGATTGACCAGTGATACCAGTAGCCACTTTGCAAGAGAGAACAGTACCAAAGGCGACAAAAATATCATGCAGTGACTTGTTGTCAATTGTTTTGTCAAGATTTTTAATAAATACATTACCAACTCCATTTTTCCGGATACTGGGATCTCTATTAGAAAACATAATCCTTATGAGTTTTCCATTTAGTGGTGTGAAATTCAAGACATCCCGGGCACGGGTAGCTGCAAAGCATTTGAATAATAAGGTCCAGATGGTTCATGTTTAAAAAATTGAGGATTATGTCATACAATTAAATTCATTGGCAAGATTGTGCAAAAAAATAAAATAACCTTTCCATATAATGAAGGCATATATAATTTGATTGTTACAACTTACAAGTTGTATCTCATAAACTGGGATCAAAATTATTTCAGAAAGTTAAGCTTTTAATGACATATTGCTTAATTTACTTAAAAATGAAAAAAAAAAAATATGAAACTGTTTGTCACCATTATTCAAAAGAATCATCAGTTCAATCACAAAACTACAAGGAAAACATTTCAGTGATCTGAAACTTATAACGTAGAAACCAAGCACGATCTGTAATCCTTCTAAAAAAATAGGGCAAAATTACTGCTTACAGTTTACTATGGTTCTCTGCTACGGATACAATTTATAATCCTTTGAAACATATGGGCAAATTGACTGCTTACAGCTTAACCTGCCCTTATCTTCCATTGTTTTATTCTTAAAACTCACAGAGAAATTTATGAAAGTAATATGATACTGAACTTAGAAGTTAGAATTACTAGTAGCATTAATGATAGCCAGAAAAGAAACTTGCAATTTAAGCAAAACCTAAAAGATGACTACCTAATTAACAACCCTCATATATATTATATCAGCCTGATAAAATTAGCAGGTGGAGGCCAGGTTGAACCACAAAGACAACAAAACAAAATAAATAAAAACATCTGTTTGTTTTATTGATACGATCTCAGAAGACCCCAAAGTATGAGGCTTTTCTAGAAAAAATTGTCCAAAAGAAATGATATCAAGATCCACTAGTGATCATAAAGGTTACTACACATATACCCTTCTAGATCATTCAAGCAATGACACTTGAACTATCTTATGTGATCCATAATAAACAAACATCGATTACAGGGCTTCAAAAGACAATCCCCAAAATTTAGCACATTACTACACAAGATTCTTCCATGTCAAAATTGTCATACTTGCTCTGTTGAGGCAACATCTTGATATAATCAATATAATACTCGGCTACTTGGTCCGTTCTATGGATATTACCCGGTCAGTAGTGTCAAATTAACACCAATAGATCTTAAGTAAATTCGTGACTAGTACACGATAATAGTCCTAATAAGAAATTAAGAACTCAAAAATCAAAATCTGAACCATAAGTCTGAAGCAACAAAAGACTTTTTACAGAGCACCAAATAGCACGACATGAAGTGATCGTCGTCAACATTAATTTCCAAAAGCAGAAGACAAACACAATGTCAATTCCAAAAACCAGCACATGAAGGCAGCGATCATAAAAGACTAGTACACCTTATCAAGAGCAGAGCAAGAAACCGAAACATCAATGATAAAACTAATTGAGATTCGAATGGTTCTTACCGTCCTGGAGACTGTGAAAATTTACATAAGCATAGCCGAGGGAGACATTGCGGATTTGGTCCCTGCAAACCCTAACGGAGGTCACCGGCGCGATCTGGCTAAAGAGATCGTACAGCTGTCCCTCGTTGACGGCGAGATCAAGGTCCCCGACGTACAGAGACGCCCTGCCGAACGCCCCGCCCTGCGACTGCGTCGACGATATCTGCAGCGGTGAGAGCTGCGACAGCGCTGCCGAGGTGCTTGCCATTGCCACCGGAAAAGTACACTGGGACGATCGCCGAAACTAGCCGATCTAGGGTCACGCTTTCGCTCCTTTTCCTCGAGATTTCTTAGGGCCTCCCCCTCGATCTTTTTGGAGGAAACCTCGAAGTGGTTGAAGCGGCCGTAGAAAGGAAGGCGAAGGGTCTTTTATAGTAACCCGGAAGGAATTGGAATCTCCGAAGCGTCGGGATCCTGTCCAACCCTGAACCCAAAACGATTCGTATTAAAACGGGGTGACTGAAACCCAGGGCATCATCCGACGGTCCGATGTTGGAAGACGCCTTCACCCGAATAGAAGTTGGATTGTGGGAAATCCCAATCCATCTGGGAAAGCGATGGGGGATTCAGCACGTGTCGGCGATGACGTCGACTCAAAAGTTTGGCGCTTTCACCGGCGGTTGGGCTTGTTGGTTCAGCGTGACGGTTAAACAGTGTCGTATTCGGAACAATTTACGAAAACGCCACCGACTAAGCGCGAGGGGTAAGACGGATCCCGTCGTTTCAGGGGATCCGATTTCTGTTTTCCGCATCAATAGAAATCGCCGGTGCCGTCACCGGTTCGAGGACCAGAAAAAGGTCACGAGTTGGTGATGAGACGATGGACAGCAACAGGGGCGGTTATCGCACCGTGAGATGTACCCGACTTACCAACTCCGAACTCCTTGGCCGTAACAATGCGCGTAACGGTCGGCACGGTGTGCAGATGCACGACGGAGAAAAAAAAGGAGAGATATTATAAATTTAGAATGAAATATCTAAAAAAAATATCTCATAGGTTTAGGTGGTTATCTCAATTGTATCACATCTTTTCATCTTTCCACTAAACAAATTAGTAATCTAACACAAAGATTGATGAGGATAGTAATTATGATAAGAACATCGGTCGGCGTGACGATACCCGGCAACGCCTTTGACGCCACCATTTGTCCCGGCAAACGGGCACATCAAACCACGGCAAGCTTCTTTATAAATACCCTCGCACTCTCAACGAGCAGGAGGGACGAGGCAAGGGAGAACACACCAGGGAGACACCTCAAACTCATCTTCTCCTTTCTACCCCCTCCACCATCTACTGACTCGATCATCGGAGGGGTCGGGTCGCGTCTCCCGACCAAACCTGTGTGTAGGATTGCAGACGGAGCGCGCGCCCAGCCGAGGAGCCCCCTCCGGTGGGGTGGAGTCGGCTGATCCCGTCCCCATCGGACCGTCGCGGCCGACCCCCTCGGCGAGCCCAAGGGCCGCACCGGGGAGATCCCGCCTTCCGGACCCGAACCGAGCCGCGTCGACCCCGAGGGCACGGCTTCAGGTTGTTTACCACAACAAAGATCATAATGTAACAAGCTAAAATTATTTTATATTTAAATAAAAAATGATAAAAGTAAGCAAGAATGTTGAAATAAAATGGTAAATATATTATTCGAATTCAAGACTTTAGATATATAATAGCTAAATTAGCAGTATCCGAGTGGTATGTTAACATGATTTTTTTTGTTCTTTGCCCTCTTAAAATTAATGAACATATCCATTAGATGAATTGGACTGCCACGACTAGCAATGCATTAAATCTATGAAGGTGAAAATGTCGGACTACGTGAGTGTAGAAATTGGCTTCTTAAATGACATTTGTTCCGAATGATGAGGTGAAGTACAAATGGGTGTTTTGTTTGGTTGCCATTCCACTCACAAAAGCAGAATTGCGGCAATTCCTGCCACCAGCAGCGCTCGGGCGGTGGCGACGGCAGCCGGAGGGGCGGCGCTGACGATCTGCACCGGGAACAGGCAGCCGTTGCGCGACGCGTTCTTGGTGGTGATGACCGCAAGACCCTCGAAGTTGCACGCCCTCACGTCCTGGTCCTGCATCTGGAAGTACATGTTGAAGGCATAAGAGGCGTTGCCGCCGCGGTCCAAGTCGTTGCAGGAGGAGCCGTAGCCCAGCGCGGTGCAGTCGGACAGGGAGCAGGCGTAGTCCAAGTTGGGCCCCATCGCGCTCAGCTGCTTCACGTCTGGGTTTAGAACGCACCATTGTTCCGGCAAGTACTGCACGCCGGTCGCGCGCTTCAAGTACTTGTCATTCCCCTTGCCGGAGAGGTCCATCGGGAACTTGGGTCTGCAGTCGTAGGTGAAGATCCCCCAGTGCCGCTCGAAGTTGCCCGGCAGAACGCTCTTCATGTCCTCGTCGATCAGGCCGAACAGGTAGACATCCATGTGCCCGGGCCTCATCGGCGTCCCCTCGTTTTGCCCCATCTTCTTCAAGAATCCGTCGTAAAACCTCTTCGCGTTTTCGGTGTTGGCGTTCTTGTCGCCGTCGGTCGGCCAGCCGACCTCCCCGACTATGATCTTCATGTCGGACACGCCGGCCTTCTTCAGCGACCACACCAGCGTGTCGTAGTTAGCGTCGAACACGTTAGTGTACTGGTGGCCCTTGTCGTTTAGGTTGCGCCCTCCGCCGTCGAAGAAGGCAAAGTCGATTGGGAAGTCCGGGTTCTGGTAGAGGCTGAGGAAAGGGTAGATGTTGACGACGAAAGGAGCACCATTGGAGTGCATGAAGCGCACCATGTCGACCATGAGGCTGTGGATGTCGCCGCGGAAGTCTCCTGCGGACGGCACCGGGTTGCTTTCCGGGGAGTTGTAGACGTCGGCATTCAAGGGGACAGTGGCCTTGATTCGGTTTCCGACGCCGGCTTCGTCGAGCGCCTTCTGGATGTTCTTGAGCGCAGGGAATGTGGTCTTCATGAAGGAGCCATTGTAGCTACTTAGGAAAGGTTCATTGCCTACGGCAACATACCTGTAAAAGAATGCACAAGAAGAACAATAATTAGATACTGGTATGACTAAGACCTGACTACTATGAATTGCTTATAGATGAAAACAAATACCCAATGGAAAAGAAAAAGAACTGCTCATCTACAAATCAAACAGGCTTATGACCAATAAACAGAATCCATATTGCAGATCAAAGATGAAGATATGTGTTAGTGATAACAAGTTGAATTAGTGTTGAGAAGATGGATGGAGATACTTGATGTTGACTCCTCCGTCGTAATCGTGCTTGGTGACGTTCTCCTTCACCCAATCTTGGGCGTGGCTGTAGTCGCTGCTGATACGCTTAAGCATATCGTTGGGGATGGCGAGCATGAGCTCGATCCCGGTCCCGGCGAAGGCACTGACCGTCCAGGAGTCGGCGTCGAACAGCTTGACCTTCGTGATCCCGTTGGACTTGATCATCTGGACGACGGTGGTGGGGAGCAAGGGGTGGGACATTATGGTTCCCCAGTTCACGCCGAGGGCCGCCGCGGGTGAGGCCAAGACCAAGGCGGCGGCAACGGTGGCGCAGCAGACCCATGTCAAGATCTCCCGGCGGTTCATGGCTGTCGACGAAGAGGGCACCAATCGGTATCGGAGCGTGCACAGAAGTCTCGGGTTGGCCTTTAAAGGTTGTCTTAGCGTTGAAGATGGAGGTCCGTCGGCTTCGGTGGGGAGACTCCCAGAAATGGAGGGTGGAAGAGGAGGGAAGGAAGGGGACATGTCCGTTATATTTATCGGGTCGGTTGGACAATAATACCCTTCTCAACGGTTGGCTCAGAAAGACAATTATGATGTCATTATTTGGTAACATGGAAATGCAACTCATTAAATCTAACATTTGTCGCTCTTAAAATTTGGAAAGAGAGAAGATTTTAGCTAATTTAGTTTAGTTTATAAATATTTTGATATAAACTCGAATATCATTTTGTCACTTATCATTTTAAAAAAATTAAAATAAATAAAAATATAATAAATAGTTTTTATTAAATATAACTCTTATTTACCTTTAATTAATGGTAATCATAATTTTGGATTTTGATTTCAAAATCATTGATTCTGATTTTTAAAAATAGAACTAGAATGGTTGATTCTTTGATTTCAATTCGAACTATTAATATTTTTATTAAATAATTTTAAATATAAAAAATCATAATATTATTTTTAAAATTTGAAAATAGATATATAACTATAGTAAGTATAATAACATAAGTAAAAAACTTTATAAAAAATAAAATTATAATTTTTTAATAAAACTAAATGGCTCTATCAATATTCAAATCCAAAAGTTTATTAGATTTAAATTTAAGAATTTGACCACTATACTATAGATCTTATTTATTTTTTATTTTTATTTTTGTAATCAAATTTATCTAGTTTGAAATCGAAATCAAGAAGATGAAGAATGATTATTTTTGTACACATATGGTTTAGAATTAGCGAAGGTAAAATGTATTATAAGAAGATACTATTAAAATAAGATCATAAACAATGTGTATCACATGGATTTGGAATTTCTCTTAATCATTTTCCACGGAATACATTTAGAAAGCCAATAAAAAAATAGATTTCTTGAATTTTAATATTTTTAGAACAATTTCAGTAATTCTTATGTATAAGATTTCACATTAACAAAGAAATTTTAGGCCATCAGCAAATCCAAGTGACATCACAGAATGCGATTGATTGATGTGCTTTGTCTTCACCATGTTGAGAAGATGAGCAAAGTTGGGAGGAGGAAAGAATGGGAACATCTGCATCAAAAATTTGCAGAGATAACGTGCTCATCTGCCTCATCTGAATTGATTTGGCTTGCACTGCTATTTTAACCTATCAGTGTACTCCTCTAATGGAATCATCTCATTGCAGTGATAGACGATCCCATCTGCATCAAATTTGGCTTCGTCGTGTTGATTTAGCTGTCAATACTACTTTAATTGGAGAGATGAATAATGCAGATATGGCTAACCTGTGTTTTTCTTCGCCAAACCAACAGCAAATGCAAATAAATTGTGACGTATGGGACGCATATACCATCGATTTGGTATAAATATTTGATTCTTTGTTGGAATTAACGAAGAAGTGGCGATATGCTCAATCTCTCTTTTCGTGCACCCTAAGAAAGTCATAGCAAGTTTGACGACAATGGCGAAGAACCCTAAATATGGATTATTTTATTACTATATCCTTCGTTTTAAAATATTAAATTAAATTAAGATATAATTTTATGTCATAATCGAAGTTAAAATCTTGAGTTTATCTCTTTATAAATAAAGATTCATGTAAAACATAAGTTGGAGAAGGGACAAGAAAAATATTTTAAAAAACATAAGAGATTTAGGATATAATATATTATAAATTATCAAATTTAATAAGTTTTTAGATTTAATAAGAATCATGAGAAATACTTTGACAATAAATGATTGGCAAAAAATAATGACATGAAATCTTGATTTGTTTATCACAAATAAAACATTGTATTTTTAACTCCTTAATCAAATCATGATTTGAGAATAATCACCTTGATTCATAAATAGATTCATAGATAACCACTCTTATCTTAACATTTATAAATATATAACACTATACACCAATGAATTAACATAACCTTTTATGGCATATTCTATTATGGTATCATAACATTCTTACTTCAACCAAATATATTAATTTTGGTATTTCACATCACATTACTTTTGGCTTAATCTATTCATAGATATCATTGGCGGTGATAATAATATTCCTATCACTCACTTATTTCAAATATGATCACTTTTAAACTCGATGATATTTTTTATATATCTCACATAAAAAACTTTTTCTCTCTCTCTCTTATAATTTTATAAATAAAATAATATTTTTATTGTATTCTATCCTAACTCATGTTTTTTAAAATATATAAGCACGATGATATTTTTGATTTGAAGTGAGAATAAAGATAATATGTATGAGTAGTCATTACTAGTTATTTTATAAATTACCTAATCAATCACTCTTATTGCTACTCGATTTGACGCATGGTATCCTTGTTTTGAACATTTATTTATCATCTTTCAATAATAGTCAATCTCTCATTATTCTTTCTAATTTCAAAATCAATAACAGTTATTATACAGTATGACTTATGCCTTAGTATCAGAAGTCATAGACTATCTCTTGGATATCTTTTATATATTGTATCAAGCCACTTGAAAACATTTATATTAATGATTACTGTTCCCACACACCAACCCCCCTCGCGATCATTCATCTATTGAATATATTATATATAATATCATAAGTCATTACCATACACACCATAACTTATTAACTCTATTGAATAAAAACATCGACATCTAGTTTGAAACACCTTGTCTCTATGCTACTCTTTTTTTTTATCGATAGCCTTTCGAACCATTATATATCTTGTCAATCACAAGCCCACAGCAAACCAACAACTATAGTTACTACTATTATACAAACCTCCTATCATTCATAAATTAGGGGTATATGATTATTTATACTACATACACCTCACACGAGTTAAAATCGAGGTTAAACTGTACTTTTATTGAGTACTTCTTTGAACATAATGTTTTTAAATTCAATTTTTCCTTAAAAAATCTTGCTCCTTCGGTAATGAGAGTCACAATCACATTCATCTATCACTAAGTTCATAAAGATGCATAGTAAGACTATCTCCTTCCATTTCTATGCTCCCTAACTCAACCAGCCATCATCCTCCAAATCCCTACTCCATTAATATTCTTGTTTAGTACGTAGAGTCATAGCTTATTTGCTTGCAAGTATTAACTCTTCCATCGGCTTCTGGACTTGATTAATTTGTATCATCAACCATAGCTATGTCCTCGATGCAACAAGAGATGTCCTTGTCATCTCCTCGATCAAATGACACCCTTGTTATCAAGATCACGTCAATAACTCATCATCAATTCTCATGCCATCGACACAACTCGATCATTCTACTGGGCTTATATATCACATGATAATATACTTTAAAAATATAATATTTAGTGTCAGATCATTGATCTCTACAGAATAATGTGTAAGGAATATAATGTCTTATTTCATAATATCACATAAACTCTTATATCATTCAACCTCATACAAAATATAATCGAGTTTAAATAAATATTTTAAATTAAGTAGAACTCAAATGAATTCATTATAAGATATAAAACACATCTAGTAGTTAAAGAATTTCACTAATAATCTGGTATTGATTTTATAAAAATATTCAATCCTATCATCAAATATGATAATTCAAACTTATTTTGAGTTTTAAGGTTGGCACTTATGATAGTTAGAGGTTAACAAAATATTTTCTTATAGGAGATTTTAATTGATAATATCTTTATACAACAATTTCTTAGTTTAGTTTATCTTAGCATCAGAACCATGTCTAAGAACTCCTAAAAGTATACCAAATTTGAATCGTTTTTTATGTCTATCAATTTTATTAAATTCAAATCCTATAATTCTTTATATTTATGATAATAAGAGGCATCATATACTTATTAGTTTATGTGGATGATATCATCGTCATAGGCAATAACTATTAAAGAATTTTTTAAGTAATTTAATAAACTGATTCTAGGGTCATTAAACTATTTTCTAGATGTGGAGCCAATATTCACATTAGGTGATCTTTTCCTCTCATAAGAAAAATACATTTAATACCTATTATCAAAAAAGAACATGCACAATACCAAAGAGGTTATTACCTCACTCTCGGTCAATAAAATTATATAATGATAATCTTGCTATAGATTCCACATTATACCGATAAGATAAGTACTTTAGTACTTATCCCTCACTCGTTTAAATATTTCTTTTATAGTCAATAAACTATAATAATCTATGCATCAACCTTCCATTACTCTTTAATATACATTAAAGCGTCTAATAATACCTTAAAAGGACTATCAACCATGGTCTTCTTCATCAAAAACATACATCATCATCATGCTTTTGTCGATATTAATTGAGTAGAAAACACTAATAACAAGACATCCACATATATTATCTATTTTGAAGCAAACCCTATTAATTGGAGTTCTAAGAAATAAAAAACAACAACATGAACTACATAGATTAATGTGTCATTGTCACCACCTTTATAGTACTTAACTATATTATCAACTTACTATATGAACTTAGTGTCATCTCTTAATCTACTCTAATAATATATTATGATAATTTTGATGCCACCTACCTATGCTCTAATCTAATATTTCATTCTCATATGAAAGATATCGTCATTAACTTTCAATTCGATAAGGATTAAGTTGTTAGACGTCAGCTAGCTATGTGTATCTCACATCCATACTTTAACATGATAGTGAATCATTAGCATATGCAATATTAGGCAATAAATGATTCAACATTAAGGAGGAAATCTTAGAGAGACAGTAACCATAAGCAACTCATTGTATATTTCAACATATCAATGTTGGTTAATCAACCCATGATCCGGTGCAATCATTTTGATTCACGAACCATGTTCATGAACATGATTCAAGAACAACCACTCTCTCCATACAAAACCACTTATCGATGAACTAACATAGCCTTCTGTCATACATTCCATCAGCCTAAACCTTAAAGCCAGAAGCAGCACCCGGAGCTCTTCTTCGTCTCGGCCATGGCGAGCGAGGCTAATAGCAGCGCAGGCGATGGCCTCAAGCTGCCAGAGATCAAGTTCACCAAGCTCTTCATCAATGGCTGCTTCGTCGACGCCGTCTCGGGTACAGAACCACTTGCGTTCTCTTCCTTAACTTGTCGACGTACATACTCTCTCTTGTTTCTGAACCTTTTCTTCTTCCTTTGTCTTCCTCGTTCTAATTGTTACAGGAAAAACATTCGAATCACTCGACCCACGTAACGGAGAAGTGATCGCCAACATCGCTGCCGGCGACAAAGAAGACGTCGACTTGGCTGTGAAGGCAGCCAGAGAAGCCTTCGACCATGGCAAGTGGCCTCGCATGTCCGGCGCTGTACGTTTCTTCCTCTCCCCCCTCATGATTGCTTCTTCGAACTATACCATCCTGATAAATGGACGTCTGCAACTTCTCAATCATGACCAGGAAAGGGGGAAGATTATGATGAAATATGCAGACCTGATCGAGCAGCACGCAGAAGAACTGGCGGCACTCGAGTGCTTAGACGCCGGAAAGCTGTTCTTTCTCAATAAGATGAATGATGTCCCAGTAGCTTCGAACTTGGTCCGATACTACGCAGGGGCGGCGGACAAGATCCATGGCGAGACACTGAAGCTGTCAGGGGAGTTTCAGGGGTACACACTGCGGGAGCCCATCGGAGTAGTCGGCCACATCATCCCTTGGAATTTCCCTACCATCATGTTCTTCTTCAAGGTCGCCCCTGCCCTGGCCGCCGGCTGCACCATGCTCGTCAAGCCAGCAGAACAGACCCCACTCACAGCTCTCTACTGTGCCCACTTGGCCAAACAGGTGCGAAATCTGATATCATTCAGCTCTTTCTCATAGAAAAGTCTTCGATGCTACTACATAACTACGTCCACATCGCAGGCAGGTTTTCCTGATGGAGTTCTCAATGTTGTCACCGGTTTTGGAGCCACAGCCGGAGCTGCCATTTCTTCTCATATGGATGTGGACAAGGTGATTCCGACTCGATGACAGATGATTCGTACTGGCAATCCACCAATTATCTTCTGAAGGAAAGATTCAGCTTGCTCATCGAATTCCCTTTGGTGTCAGGTTAGTTTCACAGGATCTACAGAAGTAGGACGGCTTGTGATGGAGGCAGCAGCAAGAAGCAATCTGAAGTCTGTCTCACTTGAACTGGGTGGGAAGTCGCCAGTTATCATCTGTGATGATGCAGACATAGACATGGCCGTCGAACTCGCTCGGACGGCCATCTTTTACAACAAGGCATGGATTGTTCTTTCACCCAATCATTAGCCACCCATGTTTTCATTTCGATGACTCGTACGCAATCGCAGGGAGAAATCTGCGTGGCAGGATCTCGTGTCTACGTGCAAGAAGGAATCTATGATGAATTTGTAAGAAAGATAGCAGAAAGTTGCAAATCCTGGATCGTTGGAGACCCTTTCAGTCCCCATGTTCATCAAGGACCTCAGGTAATCTTCCCTGTTCTCTTCCACACCATGTTGCTTTCTTTTCCTCATAGATTTCTCTTGCTCTGATGAAGGTCGACAAGAAGCAGTTTGACAAAGTTCTCAGATACATCGATCATGGGAAAAGAGAGGGAGCCACCATACTGACAGGAGGAAAGGCCTGTGGTGAGAAAGGGTTCTACATTGAACCCACAATCTTCACAGATGTCAAGGTAGAGTTCTACAACCATTGATGCATTCTGAGAATGCAATTCGACTCTTCCTCTGTAACAGCATTCAATCTTTTGGAACAGGAGAGTATGCTGATAGCCCAAGATGAGATCTTTGGACCTGTCATGTCCCTCATGAAGTTCAAGTAAGCCATACATAAAGATGAGAAGAAAGAACATTAGAGCGAGCGCGCACACACACACACACACTCGTATGCTACCAAAACTGTGTGATTTCTGGCAGGACAATCGAGGAGGCGATTGAGAGAGCCAACGATACAAGATACGGACTGGCGGCTGGGATTGTGACAAAGGACATCAACATAGCCAACCGACTCTCGAGATCGATTCGAGCAGGCATCATTTGGATCAACTGCTACTTGGTATTCGATAACGATTGCCCTTTTGGTGGATACAAGATGAGTGGATTCGGAAGGGACAATGGAATGCATGCTTTGGAGAAGTATCTCCAAGTCAAGTCTGTGGTCATTCCCATCTATGGTTCTCCTTGGCGGTAGCAGCATGCTTGAACAGAAGAAGGCAATGAACCACCTAAAAGCTATTGAATGAAAAGAAGACATTTTGGGACAACAACTACATGAGGAGAAGGTTCCCAATGATAGATCAAAGTTGGTATATGGCACATTCCAAAATAATTGGACTTCAGTTCTTGCCTGTGTCTCTGATATTAATATTAATAGTCATAATTTCATATGCTGTGACAATGCTTGGGTTACCATTTATAATAGGCACATCTCATGTTAATTAGTGGAGCCAATACTACATCCTAACCATCCAGTTACTGCAAGCAGCCAATACCAAAACTAAAGAGCCTCTTCAAAATGCAGGTTCTTTTACTGTCAGATGTGTCATGGTCAGAGTTTAAACCAAGGATCACCATTTCAGATACTGGACCTGTTTTGACAATTTGATCAACATTTCGGAGAAGAAAAAAATACGGAAGAGAAAGGGTGAGCAGAGGAAGACGAGGAAGAAGAAGCAATGGAGAAGGGATGAGAGTATACCTTGGAAGATAAAAACTGACGAATAACAGTAGGCGACGTCGAACAAGAACGACGATGATGACATCACATATCAGTAGTGCCGTGAAATAGCGATCCAGAAGTCCCTGGTTTAAAGGACTGCAAACTAAGCTGCTTGAATACTGTAAACAATTACATATAATGCTAATTAATTTCATAGCAGGCACCAATATGGATCCAAAATGGAAATGAGGTTTTGGTTGGTAGGAGACAAATACAAGGAAAAACTAAAGAAAGAAAGAAACTTACAAATAATACAAGCAATATTATATGTTCTCTCCATTTCTTTCTACCAACCAAAGAAGGCTTTGCCTGGCTGACCATCCTAAACCAACAGAAGAAGGAAAACCGGGGCCTAAACCATCCAAGTTGCATCATGTGTTCCCAGCTGGAAGTGGCCCCATGTTTTGGAGATCCTGGGCAGGCTTGGGCCGCCACTTTGTTCGACCCCTCATAATCTCAGCCCCGCTTTCCAGCCGGAGAAGATGCTGGCACTCGATGCCAGCCTCTGGTGAACCATCGGAGCCATGGTTGGACACAGCAGTGAGTGATTGCAGCACAGAGTCTCTCCCACACTCCCTCCTGTACTCCAAGGTCATGCCGGCAAGCTCATGGCTCTCTAGGATTGAGATCGGTGCGCTCTGCATAATAAAATAATAAGATGTGGTCATTACTCAGCGCCACATAACTACTTAAATCATGTCCTTCTACGAGCATGACAATAGCAACAAATTGGAGCAGGTCCACCAACCTAATAACATTAAATGCAGAAGGATAATGGTCAGCAAACTGCTGCACTTTTAGTGGTCCAGCAATGCTGGCAAGGAATGTTCAGAAACAGAGTAAAAGGAAGCAGAGACACAACATGCCATGTGCAACCACCACCACAGAACAGAGTGGGGAATCTAAGATGCATGTTACATTGTGAAAAGGTTAAGATCTTCACACATGCAAATTGGTTAAGGTAGTCAGCATGCAGTAATTGGAACTCATGGCCTGAAATATGGTATGCCAAAAAAAAGAGCAATTACAGAATGTAGGAACTGTAACATCGAGAGCTTCAGCATTCAAATAAGATCTTGTAACTCGATGCAATGGCGATATCTTTTTCCATGGAAGAACAATTCTATCAATGATAATCTGAGTATAATTCTTCGATATTCATGACTACCAGGTGCGAAGAACAATTTTACCAATAAGCTAATACCAAGCAAGACCTGTAAAATAACTTGTTATCTGCAACCTCTTAGTGCCCACATTTACATTGGCTCTATCTATACTCATCTTGTAACACAATGCAGCATCCACGGAGATCATTCGGCTAGTCGAGTCCTTGAAGACAGCTCTAATTATGAAGTGGAAACAATTAAGTTTTTACCGAAAAGGTACTTCTAAGAATGAAGCTGGTTATTTCCTTTTTTTTAAAACAGAATATTTCTTACATGTCAGATAAGACAGTCACTCATCCAAAAGTACTCAACATATGGCTTATCACATGTCAATGTCGTCCTTTTTTACTTGAGATGAAAACAAGAAATTTCCAGCAATGTACTAGAAAGATTTAAAAAGAGGCAACAACTGCACTTATGTAGCCTTAAATTGTCATTTTCCATTTCAAATTAACATCTTGTAACATAAACTAAGTTACCTCGAGGATCCAGCCAATATATTTTACATTGTTCACATGTTGATTGATATCCAAATCACCCCATCGAGGCTGCATTTGATAGCAAGGGAAATAGTTACAAACCACATATATGGCATTTACAGAAACAAGTAAATAAATCTGTAAGAGCTAAAGATGCGGATCACAGACTTACATTCAGCCCCCTTTTAATAAAATCAGCAGTATTATCTTCAAGCTTCTGAACCTTTCTGCTATCCTCATCTATAATAGGATCACGATCCACAAAATACGGTCCTATTTCTGCTCTAACTTCCTCTGGAATTTTAGACAGTCTCCTAGTCAGTTTGTTCATCATTACCCACACACTGCATGTGAAAGCCAAAACCAGGAAACATCATATGAGCCACATAACATTTGCAAAACAAGCATTAAATATGCTTACTTGTAAATTTTTCAACCACCGAATGAGATCTTCTGTAAAAAAGAATGTAGATGTAAGGCATATATAGGAACCAACCTCGTCGCTCGCAGAACAGTTTGGCCCGTTCGATGATCATGCACATGCCAATCACGACGCATCCCATTTTTCCCAGATGAAGCCACCCATGTATCTACTTCCACAACATCTTCCCTGAAAAAGAAAAAAAATGATAAAATTACCATACTTAAAAACAATGCATAATAAAACTGCCATAGAAGGAATGAAAAAAGTAAATCACTTTGACCAAGCAAGCAATGGAGAGGCATACTTAAGAACACAAAAAGACTAAATAATAACTAGAGAGAACAATTTATTCAAGAAAAACAGTAAATTTAATACATAAATTTTAACACAAGTAGCATCCTCTGAAAAACTGTTAAACCAGGGTTCCAGTCACAATAGTTGCTACTTGCAGGAGAAAGGCGGTGCACACTCTTTGGTGGGAGCCTCATGCACTAAGCTTCCCTTTTTAGCTCGGTCAAAAAGATTAAGAAGGCTTAGGTTAAAAATAGATGACAATTTCTCCTTGCATGTACCGAAGAAAATTTATGCTAGACAAAACAAAAAAAGTAGCAATCATACATATGAAGTATTAAAGAAAATCCCTTGTACCTATAACTTGCTTAGCGTTGAAGCTTTTCATAATATGGAATGTGCCAAAAATCAAGTATTTCGTCATTAGTCAAGAAGAGAAGCAATGGTTCTAATCTAGAGAAAGAACATACCAGGAAGGATATCGTTCTACAAGGACCTGCATCTTGGTTACTACCCAAATCAAATTTTTCTTAGTCATTTCAGGAGTTGAACCAAAGCCATCAACCAGGAGCCCAGCACTCCTTGCATGGTTAAGCGCTGTTTCCTGCATACAGAATAAGAGCAAAATATGCTAAAGAGGGTTCAAAAATTAGGTGAAAAATCAAGCAAATATCTTTTGCCATACCTGTAGATGATTCATTAAAGTCTCTATAGAAGCTGTTCGATCTGCCCCTATCTCATACGACCGAATGGAGAAATTCTGCCTGAAGTCTAGTCCATCCTGCATCATCTTTCCGAGCCCAAAAGCATCAGCAAGCATGTCAGGCCGCCTGGGCTTCCAGTCAATAAGAGTGAACTGCTTCTCCGCTGCCAAGAAGATAGTGGTTATGGCAGCAAAAAGAAAGCTCCAGTCTGGCAACTGATTGTAGAATGTCCTTGGGGCCGAGGGAGCATCATCCTCGACTGTTTGAGCTTCAGCTTTCAGGCCGACCTTGGTACCATTGACCTTAGGAATTGCTTGGGCCTGTGCCTTGACCTCCATGGCCCCTGATTGTGAGGCAGGCTTAGCAACGATGCCTCGGATACCCAAGCGCTCAGGGCCTTCACTGATGGGCTTTGGTGCTTTTGCTGAGGCCACAGACGAAGAAGACGGGACAGGGAAGAAGGCCGAAGTCGCCATGGAAGCCACCATGATGGAAAATGAGACCTTTCAGCACTCCTCTCTTCTTGGTTAACCTGAACTAAAGATTAAATCCTATAAGATACATTAGCAGATCTCAAGAATTAACTCATGAACAAGATCTCACCACCATTGTTTGAAGGAAGGCTCTCTAACTTTTATTTTCTGTAGAATTTTCTCCAATAAAGTTGACCGAGAAAAGCAATCCGTCTAAACGAAACAAATATTCCGACAAATATAAAGGAAAAAAAATACAAGTGGCCAAGCTCAAATTAACGAACGCACCACATCCAAAGAAATTATAGCGATTCCACCGCCAAAGAACATGTCTTTCCGTTAATACATTCAACCCAAACAAGAAGTCACAGGGATCCATCCAGCAGTCAAAATCCCTCTTTCAATCAACCAAAAAACACATTAGCTCACAATGAATCATCCCCAAACCTTATCTTTATTAGATTCTCCTTCAAATTCCAAAACCTCGTGTTCAAAAATCAAACAGATCAAGGTCAAAAACCCCAACACGCCATTGCAAAACCCGACAAAGATGAAGCATGCTTCGAGAGATCCAAATGCGAGGAAAGAAAACAATTCGAACGGAAGCAGAGATCCGGTTCGAATCTCAGACTGGACGCGGGTCTGAAGACAAACCACGAGAGGTTCGACCGGGTTCTCCTCTTCTCAGCAATGAACCGCCACGGTAGCCCTTCCTCGCCGTCCTTCCCCTTCTTCTTCCCCGACGGCGTGGCCTTCGTCCTCCTCCCCCGAGAAAGAGGTGGAGAAGAAAGGCGGAGGGCACTTTTTCGTACTTCTCTTCACATCTTCCAAAGCCAGCGCTTATCTACACGACCCGATTCCGCGTATTTAAATACGTGCGCTGTCATCCTCACACCGCTTCGGTAGTCGGCGCCACTTCAAATATATATATATATATATATATATATATATA